TTTTATACCTTCTCTATCATAAGCGTTTAAAAACTGTAAGTCTAAGGGGTTGTTTACCAAATTTTTTATTAAGTCCTATATGGATAAATTTGTTTGTCCGGATAAATGGGTGGCGTTGTTTACTTTTTTTATCTGAACCAACAGTCTGAATAACATAAATGACCAATTTACCCCCCAATATTAATTATTTGAACATCAAAACAAAAATCATAAAGAGGTTGACGATGGGGTGTCTCATTTGGGAAGGAGGCGATGCTTTAAAAAAGGAGTAGAGGTGTCATTTTTGTGGCTGAATGGGGACAACACACCATTTCTATATGTGCGATTAAGCCATATTCTGTGCGAATAAGCCGTAAGTAAACAACCCAAATGAGCTGTGCGAATAAGCCAGATAGACCAATAAGCCTAATAAACATCCCCCAAGTGTGTGAAAAAAAACGAATGACCTGGGATATTACAATAACCATAAGACTTACCAATGCCAAAAAATAATTTGCCTTTCAGACGATGTTACAAATATGAAAATGAACACTAAAAGCATTTGCATGATGGTTTTGTTGTCGATCCTGACCATGATGCTGACGTTCTTGCTACTTGTAGAAGTTCGAAAAGCAATGATATTTCTTTATCGAATCCTTCCGGTTCATATATATAGCAAGGAGTCGTTTCTCATACAAACTAAAAACGACAATATTGGTTTCGATCTCATCGAATATGAAATGAGTTGACAACTTCAAAAAAACAAGGATTAAGAGTTGGGGTAAATTAATTAAGATGGATTTAAAACCTTAATTACAAGATTATTCAATTCGTCTTAATTAATTAATTCATGTAGTTTCATCTTGTCTCATGTAGGCAGACCACCAAACGTAATTAATTAATATCGACCATGAATTGTCAACATACATACATACATACAAACATACATAGACTTGGGATCATGTGAGACCAAGGGTTTTTCATGAGACCCGTAAGACTAATTCTCAACCCTTGGATTAGATCTATAATATGAATATTAGTAATCACAAAATTGCCACGTGACTTCTCAATAATCACAAAATTGCCACGTGACTTCTCAATAATCACAAAATTGTCGCCGTTAAACTTTAGACTATTAGATTATTAGCTTATAAAGTTGATCAATGAACATAAATTATTCTTACGGTTTTCACGAAAAACTCTTGGTCTCACGTGAACCCAACCCTACATACATATACATATACATATACTAATACTAGAAGGATACTCAGCGAGATATATCTTGATTTTAATATTTCATTTTATTTTTTATCTCAAGCGATGTTATAATATAATCTTATGTGATTTTGAAAAAACGATAATGTTTTTATTTTTTAATAAAATATAAATTTGAAGATATCATAAAATTTTGACAAAAGTATATCGATATTAGTATCAAATTAACTATTTAAAAGCCTCATTTTTTGTGTAAATTTTGATTCAAAATTTTTATTATAATTTAATTTATAGAGGGAAGATCATGTTAACCATCATTTTGGTGTTAACTTTGAAAATCCTCTCAACCAATCAAATTTCATTATTCTTATAGGTTTATGTCTTGTTCATTTTACCCTTACAAGGGTATTCTAGTAAATTGAATTCATTTGTAACCCCCAAACAATTAATGGGGAGTTACAAACAATCAAATCCCAAAAAATATGCATTCATATCATTAATTTTTTTTACTATTGATCTTCCATTTTCATTCTTGTATGAATTCTTAAATCGTATAAGAAACACGGTAGTAACGATTTTCGATATTGATCACAAATGAACCGTGAACACAATTTGAACACAAATGAACAACCGTGAACACAATTTGAACACAAATGAACCGTGAACACAATTTRAACAAATTAACAGATGCTACCTTAATTTTGTGGGACGTCTATGTATGTGAATATATGGGCCAAAAATTGCACATATCATGTTCATTTGTGTTCATATCGTGTTCACGGTTCATTTTTGTTCAAATTGTGTTCACGGTTGTTCATTTTTGTTCAAATTGTGTTCACGGTTGTTCATTTTTGTTCAAATTGTGTTCACGGTTCATTTGTGTTCAAATTGATCAATACCGAAAATTGTTACTACCGTGTTTTTTTATGCGATTTAGGAATTCATACAAGAGTGAACATGGAAGATCAATAGTAAATAAATAATAATAATAATATGAATGCATATTTTTTGGGATTTAATTGTTTGTAACTCCCCATTAGTTGTTTGGGGGTTACAAATGAATTCAATTTACTATAATACCCTTGATAAGTGTATTTTTTCTTCCCAAAATGCCCCTTTTATCATTGTTCACTAGGCTTCATTAAAATTCAAACTTTAAAATTTAATTTTTTTATTGATTAATCTTTACCGTTGATTATAGATTTGGATGGCCAATATCAGTTAATAAGGTTAACACAAAAATAATGGTTAGCATTTGATCTTGGCCCTATATATATATATATATATATATATATATATATATATATATGACCATTTTTTTAAACTTGAAATTTAACAGTAAAACGTTGTGAAGGTAATCTTTTTTGCTATGAAGGTTCGGATTTTTTATCTTCACAACGTTTTATCATGAAGTTTCAATTGTAAAAAAAATGGTCTCACATGTCTCACAAAAACAGGTTGGTGTCACGTGAACCCAACCATCCCCCTCTATCTATATACACACACATACAGAGAGAGATCTCAAATAGAACCTATTATATTGTTACAACAATACAATGCAACCTTGATTATAACCGTCCATCTATTAGTTTTTTTCATTCTCTTAAATGGTAAGGGGTAATATCGGTAATTGTAGTATTCAATAATAATCATTTCTTTTAGAAATTATCCCAAAATCATTCTTTAATCATGGGCTTGTTTTCTAATTCTATGTTTGTAACCGTTTGGAGAATATTCGGTCGGCTGTGTCTTCTTCCATACTTTTAATATTAGGGTTCTTTAGGATTCATCGATTTCGACTTTAAGTAGCATTAATGGAACCATCGTATTCTATCAATGAAGTCTCCGTTGAGAGACGTTCTTGAATCAGGAGATGATGGGCTTAGGGAACTTTTTAGGTAAATTGTTGCATACGATGTCATTTTGGTGGACTAAATATTACCCGGTAAGTAAAAAATAATAATGTTAAATTTTACCCGTAAGCACTTACCGGGTAAGTGTTTGGTAAACGCCCCCTTAGATAATCTAAACAAGTTATAATCTAAAAATTAATCTCTTATTCATGAGATAATATACAAATGAAACATGAGCCTAAAATTGATGCAAACAATTTCAATTTTGATACTACCTTTTTTCACCTTAGGTCTTTGAGGCAGTTTGTATGCATCTCGGCTAATAATACCATAAGGGCTTGAAAATAACAGTCAGAAAAATGCTCAGTAAATCTCAAGTAGTCCCAAGGTCGATAGTTTGTTTGCCAGTTGACTCAGCCCTTCAGATCTAGAGTTTATCTGCCAGTTGAGTTGGCCCTCAAGGTATTTTTCATATACTTTGCCTCTTAACTTGCACAAAAATATAGTCATGTTTCTTCCTATATATTAGCTTAGTGCCCAGGAGTTAAGCAGCATGACTTTCTGCATCGACTCTTCGACCCGATTACCATCTTCCCCGGCTCCTGAATCTGACCCACCGATGCTAGAGGACTTGGTCGGGTTGGTAGATCGAACTGCTTGAAAGCTCAACTTGTGTTTAAAACAACGGTTAGGGTGGCACTCAACAACTGCTACACTAGCTACCATACATACCCTGCTCAAATAACTCATACTTTCCCTTTGGTAGGTTCTCACTAGGAATTAAATAAGTCGAATGTGGCACATATATACTAGGAGAAAGACCATGGTTTTCGGGAAAACAAAAGCTGATAGGTTTTCGGGAAAAAGTGGCACATATATGCTGGGGCAAAGACCATGGTTTTCGGGAAAACAAAAGCCGATAGGCCACGGTTTTCGGGAAAACAAAAGCCGATAGGCCACGGTATTGTACGATTTCTAGTGGTTACATGGCTGGATGTGTCCTTTTTGCTGAACAGTGGTCCAAGGTTAAAGAGGTTATCATTCTTATCTAAGGCTGAATCAACAAATTTGTCCCTACCCTAACGCAATGTCTGAGCGGGACCGTACCGAACAAAAACTATTTATCCCACGTTTTGATGTGACTATTAGAACTGGGACAAGACATGACTGAAGATCTATTTGTTAGCAGCTTAATGAGTTTAATAAAATTCACAACTTACACGGTCAACTATACATGATTGTTTGGTAGTGACTTAATGATATAGAAAGTGACTTATTCAAATTTTTTCTCCAAACATGCCCCTCAAATTTAAAAAACACGCTCCTTTTGTATATTAAAAGAACTCTCAAACAAAAACTTTCTCAATCTATATAGATAGATTAATCCATACAGATAGATTAATCCATACAAACAATTTTATCTATACAGGACTTAATGAGAAACCAATCAAATAGCCTTAGAGTGTGATAAAAATGCAGTTTTTTTGTCTCCACTGAAGTAAGTCCAACAAAAACTAGGGATATGGGACAAGATAGGTAAATTACCATACTACCCATGTCAAATTAGAACCTTAAAACCTTCTACAACTCTTCCACCTGCCAACCTCTCACTTGATACTCCAATCCTGTTGAATTATGTCTATGCACCAAACACTATGGCAAACTAGCTAAAAGCTGATAAGCTAGTCATGTTTGGTAAAAACTACCTAGAAACTACCCAATAAGCTAAATTACAATGTAAAATGACATAAAAGAACACATCAAAAAAATTAATTGGAATAATACAAGGGAATAAGTGGAAAAAAAGAAACCTAGAACTTATTGAACCACTATTTGACGTAGCGTTATAAAAAGCTTATGGCTAACCAAACGATCTTTTTCAATCTTAAGGTTGCCAAAAACGCCCTAAAAGTGTTTCGTATGTTCTGGATAACCATATGATAGCAACAAAATGGCATCCATAAAGAACATATAACTTTAATGAACATATAAATCGCTAATCACACAAGAAGTTCGAGGATAGGGTCATGGTTTACCGGATGATGGAACTGTCGGGTGCAAGTCCAAACGGTACTTTTATGTTGTTTTGACTTGTACCTCCTACAGGTAACCACCAACAGGTTAAATATGTGTAAATAGTAACTTCTCCAAGTTACAAATTCAACTCGGGAAAGCGTTTTACAAACAGAAATTCCAGTACGTGGTACGGTTTAAGAAACCATATCTTTTATTATCATAACGAGTCTTCTCCTTCAACTTGCTGTCGAGCCAAGTATCGCTCCCGTCTCTCTTTCTGCACGGACACCACTTGTATGATAAGCATACATTGATACATATACATAGAGATGGCCAAAAACCAACCCGGGCCGGACCGGGCCCACATCGATCACGGGCTGAGATTTTCATTTTGTAACCGCTCCCGGTCCTGACCAAAAATACCCCGCCCGTTCTCCATGTAGAAAGCCCGGGTCAAACCGGTCCCCATTTTTTTTCCCAAAAATTAGTTTTGAAGGTATAAAAAAATATTGTTTGAAGATTTTCTTTTTTTGGGACAATATCTTATTTAAATACACTTTAAAATCTCTAGTTGGGTCATTCAAATACACTTTAAAAATATTTTTTTAAATCTTCGTTACACAAAAATGTTATAGATGTTTTTATAAACCGAATTTTTTAGATTTAGTATTCAAACACTTAAAAAAAACTTGAAAAAACTTGAAGTGTTCGGTAAAGAACTTGAAAATCTTGTAGAAATATTGAAAGTTAAACTGGTGCTTGCTGTTGCACCAGGAGCCGTTGCACCAGGTGCTAAAGCGTGGGTGTTTTGTATCCATTGAGCAAAAAAAAAAATATATATATATATATATAATTTATAAAACTTAATTTTTTTAAAATCAGGCCTATATATAACCGGTCCCGTAACTGGTCTCGGGCCGGGCCGGTTGGGTCTTGAATTTTCATAAAGAGCATAACCGGTCCCAGACTATCGGTCATAACTGGTCCCGGTCAGGGCCCATTTTGGCCATCTCTACATATATGCTAGAGACGCACAAAAAAGCCCAAGCCCAAATCCCGGCCAAAGAAAGCCTAGGTCAAGGCCTAGCAAGCCCGAACCGAGGCCCAAGCCCGAATGGGCCTATATAGTATATTCAGACCCAAATCCCGGGGGGGTTTGCCTACTGAAAATGGGCTTGGAAGGCCTAGACCTTGTGCAGCGTTATTATACACATAACGAGAAGATTCATAAATTTGAAATAAGAGCTCAGAAGCTCACCCATTCATCTATGACAAGGCCATCACCGACAATCTTCGGTCCCGTGTCTTCTGGAGGTTTCTTACGGGTTTCAAGGGCGGCCTCAGCCTCAGCTAACTGGCGCTTCAATTTTTCCAGGGCCTTCCATGATATTATCAGCGATCAGGATGGTGCAATAAAATAATCTCAGGCAAGTGGGTAGTCAAAGATAAAGGCTAAAACACATCATGCAACCAAGTTTGTAAATGCTTTTTTAATTACTGTAACAAACATTCAATTCTTCCTATTTCATACCCATTTTCCCTGGTAACCAGTAGATATTGTAATTATTGATGATCTGGATGCCAACTTGTCGAAGTTGTATTGTAATTATTGATTATGTGACAAATGTCACATCGAAATCAACCAATGTCACATAGGTTGAAAACCCGTTTATCAAGTAAAATGGGTATGAAGTACGAAGAATTGAATGTTTATTGCACTAATTGAAAAAAAAAGTTTCTCATTCCACTACACTGGAATTAAGATAAACTTTGTTACAGTTTGATTCTTTTACCCTAAAATATGCCAACTTAGTCAGAACTTACCGGGCTTGGACGTGACACATCTAGGAAAACAACTTGCAGTATCTGCTCCACAGCTACTAGATCTTTCTGCTCATCAAACTGGGGAAGACGTAAATCCATTTAGCAATCATGAAAAGTAGATAGATAGATAGATAAATATAATCTAAGCGGTGTTTAACTCGTAAGACCTTGGGCTTGCTTCCAGGTCACAGGTGACAATCCCCCTCAGGGAAACTAGTCTTAGTCTAGCTGCAAACTACAGGACCCCATGGGATTAGTCGAATGCATGCAAGTTGGCTTGGACACTCAAGATTACCGAAAAAAGTAGATAGACAGTCGCTCTATGCATAGACGTTAACACTTAATAGAACTATGATATATTGAATTTGTGCCACAGTGATCCTATTGAAATTTAAATTATTCTACCAACATACTCCTTCCTTTCTTCTTTCTTTTCTCCTCCTTCCTTTTTGCTTACACATTTGCACAAGCTGGAGGTTTTCACAGAGACAACCGATCCACCCTTTGGGGGTAGAGGAGAAGTTTGCGTACATACCCCCCCAGATCCTGCTCTACGGGATATACTGGAATCATTTGGTTTGATAATTACAGTAAAATAACATCATCAATGTTTTCAACTAAATGGTCATTCAAAGTGTGAATTTTATATAAAATAAATGTGATATAGCGGGAAAAAACAAATAATGGACACTCATAAGAAGTTGGATTCATCATTCGCTAAATGGGGCAGGTAGAGGCAATGCTTAACTTCTTTGCTAGGAATGGAATAGGTATGGAGATGGTACTGAACTGGCTGAATTTCCCATAAGGGTGCTGTTTGGTATGCAGACAGGAACAGGACTAGACAGGCTGGAGGAGCAAGAGTGAGGTAGGCGCGTGAAAGAATTCTGGAAGTTCTTTCTTTCATAAGATGGCCTTTTTCGGAAATCAGAATAGCTGTTGAGTGGAAGGTTTCTTACCACCACCTTGGTTGAAGGTTGTTCATTGAAGTTTAGAGTTAGTGTCTTTCTATCGAATCTGAGTTACCCCTCCTCCTTTGTGGGGTCCGGACCCCTACGAGTGAGCAGAAAAGGGAGGAGGWAAGAGGCCCTGGCGAACCGTCATAATTAGTGGATTAAACCACATACTCCACCGCTTGTGCATGCCCCGTCAATTCCTTTGCTGTTACCAAGGACTAGCAGAATCGAAATAGCGATATTCTTGGGTCATCTCAATGGGTTCAGAATCACCATTATGAGCGGTATGTTTCAACCAATTAAACTATAAGCCCCTACGGATCTGCTGATCCTCATCTTGTACTTGTGAACAGCAGCAGAGGCCGCATATGATAGGTTATTCCAGAATCAATGTGAATATTGCCGAATAGGAGACTTCATTGCACAATCGATGTTTCCATAAGAGAGAATAAAGTGATGTTTCTAGAAGACGAATAAGATGATTCAGCATTGGTAAAATCCCTATCAATAATAGGCCGGAATGGTGGGGAAGGAAGCCCTTTTAGGGTTATAATTTGACATGGGCAGCTTTGTAATTTACCAATCTTGTATCATCTCCCTGATTTTTGTTTCCCCTATTTTAGTGGGACAGGCAATGTATTTTTGTCCTGTCCCAGTCTAAGTTACGTCAAATGCGGGACAAGTTTTTGTACTGTCTAGCCCCGTGCTGTCCCGCTTACTAAACGAGCACAGGAACAATTAATGACAAATTATAAACCATAACTTTTTGCAAACTGGTCGTACAGGGATTATAGAGACAGGTGGAGAATATCCCAGAAGAGGGTGTATGACTTACTAGCTCAGGTACGTAGTCCATTACTCCTTTCACTTTCAGGCTCATGATTTTGAATTTTACTTTCCTCTTTCGGTCTGTCGGCTTTTCATTGTTATCTGGAGCTTCCACAAACTTGAAAACTATCACGATAAAACCAGAAGTGGAAGTTGTAAGCAATAGTCATATAAATAGAGGCTAGATTTGACATACTTGCAAGTAACATTAGATTTCCTAATCAATATAAACCTTGTCAGAAAGTATAATACTTATAAGATTAAGAACATGCATGTCAAATGCTGTTACCTGTTGCAATAATACTCTCGCCTGGAGCCAGAATAGCACCCGGAGGACGCATGAAACAGCTTTTAGGTGCAGTTGTTTGAAACTAAAGCAGCACAACAAACAAAACATCAGATTAAGGTAAAATAACCTGAAGTTGCAAGATTTTCGAAGCCCATTATTAGAGCAAACCTCATAGCAGGAAAAATTGTCATTTCTGATCCATTAATGGTGTATATGTGTAATCAAAAAAATGATATGGAAGAGCATTTAGCAGGTTTAAAAGGGCTTAACAGTCATACCTTGAAAGCTACATGAGACTTGCTGGTGTTTTTTATCTTAATAGCACTTTGGACTTGCTTACCAGGTTCATCTACAAAGTTCAGGAAGAAAATTGAAATGATCTATCGTCAACCATGTAAGTCCATCCATAACATATGTAACTATTTTCAGGAAAAAGTAACATACATAAATGCAGTCGATATATTTGTTAAGTGGTAAAACAGAGCCAGCTATAACCATTCTTGGTAATTACATAAGATGAATTAAGAAAAAAAATTAAGACATAAGGAGACTCACACCAATGCATAGAGAATGAAAAAAAGTATCAAAGTTAAGTAGCTGCATAACACTGGTAATTGGAAGTATTTTTGTTGTGTTTCAAGGACAGGATTAAGGTAGATGCAAACAAAATTCAACCTCAAGGTGCTGCTTGCAAGCTGTATGTATGTATTAAGGGTTCATTGGTTATATACAACCTAGGATGGTATTCATCCATTAATCATGAACTCTACATATTACCACACATAAACCGGAAGAAAAATATTAAAATAAACGGCTAAAATGTATCAAAATGCAACGGAGTTGCCTGAGTTCCTATGTAGTGTAAACAATGAATTTATTTCTCAATTACCGTTAACAAACGATCAACTCTTTCTATTTCGTACTCATTTTGACCGTTAATGATAGATTTTGTAACTACCGAGGATGTGGATGTCAAGTTGTCAAATTATATTGTCCATTCGAAATCAATCGATTCCCCATAGGCTGAAAACATGTTTCTGTAAAATGGGTATAAGATAAGAGTTGAACGTTTTTTACACTAACTAATAAAAAATCATGGTTACACTAAATATGAACCCTGGAAAACTTCGTTACGTTATTATAGATTTTCCCCTAAAATAAATATACATAATACTAAAATGTGGGTGAACAACAAAAGACAGATAACCATCCATGCGTCCAAGGGCTACACAACTTACAAGATGCATGGTTAAGAAATGTAACATATAACTAAACTTATCATGAAAAATATCAATACCATATAAAAAACTCGGGTAATCAGATTGCAAGTACGCTCATGTGGTGAACTTTACATTTTTACTCCATTAACAAGGAGCAAGAATGGCATTTTGACTACCAAACATGGCACTCAATCCAGCAAAATCTATCCCAAATGCTTGACTCACTAATAAATTTGACATTCTGTTATAGCTAATATAATATCCAGTCTTACCCCACTATAGAGAGATAGAGAGAGAGAGTTCGGATCATGTGAGAACAATTGAGTTTGGTGTGAACATGAGAACACCTTCTGAGCCTTTGAAGTTTGAATGACTTTTCCTTTTCTATATAATGGCTGTTAAAAATGTGGTGGCATTTTCATAAATAAGTGGAACTGCTGTGGCAAGGCTTTAAGGGAAAGCGGACCTTCACCCACCTTCACATGCATGAACCGTTTAAGGCTTCAGTCATGATGATACAAGTACGTATGCGAAAGTAAATCAAGGGGGGTGAAGGTCCAGTCTCCCTTGAGGAAAAAAAGACGAATGTCCCCTCCTTTACAAAAATGCACACGGTTAGCTCCGTCGAATAAAAATATATCAAGGAATGCGAAGGTGTACTCATGTTCTCATGCAAAGGAGTTCATACTAGAACCAAACCCTATGTGTGTGTATGCATAAATATTTATGTATAGAGTTGGGTTCCGGTGAGAACTCCCCCTTTGCGTAGAATATTGAGAACCCAATCTCGGCCGTCAATCGTTTTTCAGAACATTTGATCCAAGAACAATCAGCGCACGTCTGCTTTGTGAAGGAGGGGGCTTCTGTCTTTTGATTTTCCATATCTGGGAACTTTAACATACCTCAACATGATAGTTTTCATGTTAATGTTTGTTAAAGTATCTCAAAAATATAGTGTTTTTCATGTTACACAATGTTAAGTTTTTCACGTTAAGGTATGTGAGGTATTTTAAGCTATGTTCATTTTGTTCAGATTTGTTAAAGTCAGTTAAGGTTTAGTATTTTCATGTTAAGATATGTTAACGTATGTGCGGTACGTTAAGGTTTGTGTCCACCTACATCATTGGCATCAAAGTTCTGTAACTTCTGTTTATTTACATCTCTGCCACCACGTTTTTGTATGGGCATTCGATCAAATAACGAAAATCATCTGAGGGCTATGAGGTGGTTCTCATAAAAGATACCTGATCTCAAGTCTATATGTATGTATATAGGGTTGGGTTCCACTAAGAACTAAAAATTTTGTGGGAACTGTAGGAACCCACCCAAACCGTCGATCACCTTTCATCCGAGGGTGTTGATGGTGCAGCGTTTTCTAAATAACATGCAGTTCGGTCTTGTCATTTTCCGCATCCAGGCATACCGGAATCGATAAAGATAAGTATGTTAAGATTTTTTCATGGTAAGGTATGTTAATATATGTTAACTTATGTTAAAATTTTCATGTTAAGGTGTTCTAACATATATATTAACATATGTTAACATTTTCATGTTAAGGTATGTTGATGCATGTTAAATATCTGATCACCTATGCTGACGTTTCTCATTTAAGTTACATTGAGGGTATTATGCATGTTAACATACGTTAACTTATGTTAAGGTATGTCAACGTTTTCATGTTGTGTGACTTGTATAAGTTGTATTAACTTAGGTTAATTTATGTTAACATTTTCATGTCGACATATGTTTTAACATTTTCATGTCGACATATGTTTAACATTTTCATCTCGACATATGTTTAACATTTTCATCTCGACATATGTTTAACATTTTCATCTCGACATATGTTTAACATTTTCATGTCGACATATGTTAACGTATGTGAGGATGTTAACTTATGTTGAGCTCCGGTCTCCCTTACAGCATTGCCATCGAAGTTCACCTTTATTACAGATCTGCCAAAGCGTCTACGTGAGACGCTGGATCTTGGGATCAATTTCGTCCGAGGGCAACAAGGGGTTCTTATTGGAAAAAAAGTGCCTACAGGATCCCAAGTCATGTGTATGTATATTGTAGGAAACGGGTGAGAAGTTTTTTTATTTCTACGAAAATCTCCACCGCACCAACGATTCAGAGTAATCAGTCACCGGAATACCGCGTGTAAGAAACCGTTATTAAGTAAAGGCTTTATAAGGGAGATAACTTATGGGCCAGACTCTGATAACTAGCATTGCCTCCCCACCAAGCTCTTGTATCTCATGGACCAATTATTATCACATCATATTCTACCATAGAATCCTACCTTCATAGTGTAGAACTGTAGATATATCCCGTTCAATATGAGTTTTCCCTTATCATTTCGAACTTTATATTAATAGCACTGCTCCTCATCCTTGATGTTTGCCTCAATTTAAATTAATAGTAGTGTTGACCTCGCCTATTACTCAGCCTGAACCTATCTCCCATTATGGCTATCCTCCTTTTAGACAATTAGACCTCAATGAAAATATTTTTAACATTTCCTTTGTCTAAGTGACATTCAGTAAGTAAACACAATGGCTAACATGCTGTGCATTACTCCCTAATATCTGAGACAGCAATTGGAGTTTCTATACAAACTTCTCTGTGAGCAACACAATAAGTAATTGGTGAATAAAGAACTTATGTTTCATGGAATCATGTTTATTGAGATCTAAAAGGAAAAGCTTAAGTTAACCGAGCAAATATAAGAAAGATCAGAGAAGTTTCAGAAACAAGTACTTGCTAAAACTTCACAAATTTAGCACATTACTGTTAAAATTATAAGCTAAGTCATGTGATTATCTATAAATTATCTTGTTTATCATAGTTGATAGGTTATTAGCGACAGTTTTTATTTGGTGGTTATTTACCAACAGTTGTGTTGGTTCATAAACCATATGTTGGTTAACT